CGATAGATCACTGTTAGCAATTGCCTGCCTATGAATATATATTAGATGTACATCAATAATTTGCACGAATGCCTCGTCGCCATGTAAACAGAAGCGGCTGAAAGCGAGTTAGGATAATAGCAGGACACCTGAAGATAGGTAAGATCGGAGACTCGACGCAAGGATGTGGAGCTTACAGAACGAACTGCTGAACGTCACCACATCACGGAACAGTGCAAGCGCATGCACAGCGAGCATCATACATAACCCAGGTGTGGGTAGCATAGACAGAAGTCCACAGCACCTACCTGGATACGGCACAAAGCGTTAACATCTAATCCGAAGGTAGCAGTCAATGGGTGGGTGGCGCGAAACCCCAAATGCGGCCGTGGATACTAAATCAAACGATTTCAGGTGAATATGGTAATGTAACGAACAGGAAAAAGGACGAATCCCTTTAGTGCTCACTCACTTTTGAGGAATGAAGTCCGATTGCATGCGAAGAGGTAAATAGGATAAAAAAGATGCATTCACCCGAAGATTATACGGCTGTTTAGTATTGGGACAATTCTAATCGAAACCCAGCAATAACAGAAAGCATATAATGTACAAATAAGTTAAAAGGTACGAGTTGTTAATTAAAGGGAAAGAGAAAAACATATTGCAATCAACTAGGGTAGAGCGAGACGAGCAAGTACCGAGGAAGAAAAACGCTGAGCAGGAAGAAGCACCTCAGCGAATTTCGAGCGAATGTTCATTAACGACCTCGTCAATCTAATCGGTGGTAAACATGTGAGTAACAGCATTCGTATTGTTGGGACAATAAGATGAGGACAAGGTCTACAGTTGATATCATAACAGTATTTAAAAAAGCAAAGCGCAGAAGCCTTAGCAAGGCGGTGAAAGAACAGAAAAGGAGTGAAACCAAGCATTGCCAATAAAGCTAAATCGCCAAACCATATCTGGAATTGTGGCAAGAAGCACATACACTTTAGGAACTATAGTGTCACATAAATGAAATTGTATGACGTTAAAATGTGAAGCTTTCTTGGTACACCCTTCACGGCTAAGCAGTTCCGCGACCAAACACGATTAACAGAGTCTAATGCAATTTCCAAGTCGAGTATAAACCACTCTAGTGGATCGCCTGGCGCATGCCTCTAGTTCAAAACATGAGAAAGGGCAAATACGCGATCAAGTCAACTTCGACCAAGACGAAGGCCGATCGGACACGCAATGGTTCGGATTTCACAATTCGTCGCGGAATGACATATGTAAGGAGTATGGGGGCACTGGAAATAAAGGAAAGTAATCCGTGATATTCGCACAAACAGCTGAGACTCTCCTTGAGGATGGGTTGACAGCACAAAATCACCAGTCTGAAGGCGTTCCTTTGACTGCCTATGTAGTGGTGAATAGAGTGGGTTGACCGGTCACCGATGAGTCAGCCTCGCATTTCAGCAAGTGAAGTAATAACTATGGGTCCAGAGGGCCAGTATTGCGTCAACAGAGCAAGTACAAGTCAGTTCGTACTATCAGAGGCAAAATCAATTAATATCCAAGTAACCGTGATTCGTGGTAAAGCGGAGAACGGAGAATCTGAGGCATCAACTTTGCCCATTCAAGTGACCAAGCGTTAGCAATTGATTCAATTCGGCAGCAGTAGCGATAAGAAACGCAGAATGACGAACAGATGGGGTAATGCGCCAATCCAAGTGTGACTAGGAGAAGAGTGGTGGTAACAGCGCTAATGGATGGAGACGGCTGTACAGAGAAGGAAACCATCCAGCCGCCGAGTCACTGCCTTCCTCTGAAGAGAACTTGTATCTTAGCATCAACGTCAGTCTTATTACATCTAAAGATGGTGTGTGTATGATAACGCGTCTCCTGTCTCGATGATAATCATTTCTGTTTAACCTATTCCAGATTCCTATAGGTCACCAGGGAATTTAGTGTAGTCATAAATTAACGTTACACCTGTGCCATGTGTGGAGCATCGAAACCCGGTTTATCGAACATTAGATAATCATCTTTTATTGTAAACTTACTAACCCTCGCCTCTTCTCCGTCATCATTAGACCATTAGAGTACGGCTCTCTTGCCTACCACCTGGAGCAAGGTGCGGAAGATCGAACGGGTCCAAGATGTCATCATTAGGATAATTCCCAGTGTGTGGGGTGTACCGTACCAAGACGTGGTAGAGACTGGGACTGTACACCCCGTCTTATCATCGAGTGCGAATCGAACTAATTGTGACTCACGTATTCCACATATACGTAACTTCCCCATGCTAAGGCCAGCGCTCCAGTTGACAGTATCGTGCAGCACACCAGTGAGATTAGTTCTCGACAAAGCATGCAGTTGGAGCAAACTCAGTGCAGCGGTTCAAAACATTGTCGAGTCTACAATTTTCCAATGTTAGATTTCGAGAACGATTATCTACTGGCAACGATATCCCATATTTGTAAGTCTAAAGTTATTGTGCAGTGCACGTTTCTACGATATGACGTCGGAAGTTGATAAAGGATCAGGGTTAACAGGTTATATTTGACTTTTTGCAAGTTTTGATTAGATTTCGATAAGGGTGAAAAAGTTTAATTTCTACTTACTCACGTAGTACGATATACAGCATTGATAAACATTCTACCAATCATGCCTTCTTTCGCTATGATGCCACTTTCTTGATTAAGCACCGCTTAAACACTCAAGCATCAGAAAACGGCGGATACCCAAGAATTGACTCAGAAAGCATATCCCCGTTATCTACTACGCGCCAATACTACTGAAAGTTTCCGTTAAACAATGCCCTGCTCCAGGTTGTTAGTGACTTCATTCGCAAGTTATCTTTGCATTCAATTTTTGCTAAAATTGATAGGTACCACTGAGAGCAGTTTCTCGAAAAATCGAGAACTACGCATACAACAATCTTTCATTAAATGTTATCCTGAAGCTAGCCGAATTCCTAAGTCTAATGAACGGAGGAGTCTATGCTAGGGCTTTCAGGGCTCCGATGAACTGTGCGACACCCCGTGTCAAGGGAATGTCAAATAGACACAAATGAATGTGAGAAAGTGCTTCCGACTAGCTATGACCCTCGATGCTGTACTTAGAACTTTACATTTTGCCACCACCAAAGCGAGAAATTCCATGGAGCAGTTCCCATGATTCTAGATGAAAGATAAAGCCGACAACGTGTGTTGCCGATTGGTGAAACTAGGCACAATCCTTCAGAATGGAGACTGTCAACTGTCTTGCCCATCTTAGAGACGCGTCAGCGTACATTATGTGAAAATCATCGAGGCATTAGCATTGTTCCCGTTGCATCCAAACTTCTCACGGGCATGATTCACCGACGACTTACGGGTCCCCGTGAGAACCGAAAGCCAGGCTGGTTTCCGCCCTGGTCGTGGTTTTATCGACCACATAATTAGTATTCGCCAAGCTTTAGTGCGGAGACACATACAGACGACCGACTATGGTGGTTTTGCTTAACTCGAAAACAGCCTTCGACTCTGTTGACCGCACTAGCTTGTGGCCCTGCCTATAGATGAAGGACGTGCCAGCTAAATTCCTCTCCATTCTTAAGTTTCTCTAACATGACTCTCGAGGTCGTGTAAGGAGCTACGGGAAACTATCACCGGACTTCCCCATGACAAGTGGGGTTCGCCAGGGTTGTCCAATATCTTTCCTCTTCAACTTCTTGACTGGAATGATCATGAACGACTCGATTCTTTTAAACTTCACCGGAGTGGAGGTTCTGGCAAGTGAGCGACTGACAAAACTTGAGTATGCGAAGGATATAGCTCTCCTTGGGTCTGACGCGGTGGCTATGCAAACACTGCTGCATAAACTTGTGCGTAGCACTGTACCCTTCAGCATGTACTTTGCACCTTTTAAGTGTAAAGTACTGTTGCGATAGTAGACCGACATACCTCCGGTTCAAACTAACACCAAACAGCCAAGGGAAGTGGTGAATCGATTAACTTACCTTGGTATTTGTGTCACTTCTGGTGGTCACACATCAAAGAAAGTTACTTCGCGTATCATCAAGGCCCGTAGGACTTTCCAGAGGCCCAACAATCTATGGAGACGGCGGGAAATCAGCCTGTCAGTGAAAGGTAGGGCGTATAACGCTGCGGTAAGGCCAATTCGCGGCGAAGATATTAAACGCTTCGCCGTGTTTGACCACCGGTGTTTGCGGAGTATTGCACACGTCCGATAGGAACACCGTGAGCAATGATGAGGTCCGCCAACTGGTTTTTGGCAAGAAAGCTTCTGGTTCCTCACTCGAGTATTTACTGAATTTTAATCGCTTATGTTGGCTAGGCCATGTCCTCCGTATGCCCGTTGACAGACTCCCTCAATGTGCATTATACGCCGTGGCTACAACAAGTTGGGCGAAACCGTGAGATGGCCAGTCCATGACGTGGCATAGAGGTATGAAGAAATTGACAGAGCGATATAACCAGGCTGGTGCGTGCCGCCTTCTTGGATAGGGGCCTCGGGATGATCCGCACAAATGGTTGGAGACCGCATCAGACATGCCGCAGTCACGGTCAGTGGCGTACCTGCATTCGGTTTCTTGCATCTAGTAGCTAATTTTCGTTCTATTGTGGTTACTTTAACGCACTTCGTTCCTGGGCTTCTTTACTTTAAATCTCGTTTGCATTGAACTTTACTATCTCGTCGCTGTTATTTACTGTTATTCTTGCCTTGTGAGTCGAGGCAGTTGGATCCACCGCACTTCGGTGCTCGGACCATAGTTGTTCAACCGAACTGAACTGACAAACTGTTTAGTAAACGGTGGCTTTGTAAGAGCCCTAGTGGTCCACTCTAAGGACGATCTTATGGGAACGGTCCAGATATGCTACCACCGTGTCGAATGCTTGTGTAAAATAAAATCAGAAACTAAAATTCGCTCGGGGCACAGATACAGTACAATAAACTGAAAGATGTGACAGAGTAATCGTCAGTTGGTTGCATCCGAGTATCATGCCATAGTGGTCAGCAATTCTACTTACCTTCGCATGGTCACATAAGCCAATTGATTTGTGCATTTTCGATCCACTGCAGTGCCCACCACTACCGCGCGTTCACGTGCGATGTATTGTCCAATATCGAAGGCGAACTTGTGATGTCCGAAGTTGACGCTTAAATGACATTTAGGGAAGGACATTGCAACGCAAGGATACACCGGCTGAGGCTACGCAGGAGGAGATGGGGAAGTGAGTTGGAAGAAAGTGAACAATGATGACTGAATTCAACAGCCTGAAAGTCAAATCAAGTCGAAATGGGCTTTATGAACCTGGGTAGATACAGTTTCAGCTTTTCACACTATCGCTGCGAATGGAGAAAAATGAGATTTACTGGAAAAAAACAAATAAGTTGTATAGTGCAAAATGTTTGCGCATCACAAGCAAACAACTGCGCATAATGCTGGTGAATTAAGTTGAGTCCACAAGTAATCTTGACAAGTACGGAAGGGTGGAAGTATAGTGAGAAGTCGTATAGAAAAATAAGACTATATTTAAAGCGTATAGAAGGAGAAAGCACTTTTGACAGAGATCCACACAGCGGATGAAAAATTTGGTTTGGAACTTTGAAGGAAAAGCTAGTACTAGCGTCTACATGCTTGCTGACAATAAAAGAAACAAGTGCTCTTCTAAACGTCCACTGCATCTAGAAATGTTTTAACGAACGCAAGAACAATGTGGAACAGTAAAGTCAGTGAGGCAGAATGGATTTGGTCACAAGTTTGAAGAGCAAATCACGAGGTACGGAATGCATTCTAAGTCTGAGGGGATAAAAAGATAGCCTTCTAACCTTGTCAAACGTTTCAGTGACATGGGTAGGCCAATATAGGTTTTGCGATAAAAGAATCCCAAGATATTTGACAGTCTATGCCCTGGGTGAGTTGATCACTCACTGTCAGTGAAGAAATGGCATTTGAAACTGCTTGCAGCTTCTCAGCCGGAAGAAAAGAGAATGTTAAATCACGGCATTTATAAATGTTTCGAGAGACCGGATCGATGACCACAGCACAAACTCATCCAGACCACTGAAGAGTAGATGTATCAATGGTTGGAGATATACATCCTATAACGACGTCGTCTGCATACTTGCATCCAATAAAGTTCGACGATGTATGGGGATCATCGATATATAAAGAAAACAGTCGGGTAGAAAGAATCGCTCCTTATAAAATGTCACGATTAGAGTAAAGTGTAGAGGATTTTGTTCGTTAAGCTGCGTGAAGTGGGTACGGTTCGTAAACTTGTCTATGATCGCGTTGCAGACATTTGTACTTACCCCACTCGTTAGCAACTGGTTGAGTAGGGTAGATTTGTTGACGCCCCCGAAAGCATGTGAAAGATCGAGAAAAAGAAGGCGCACTGCTCTGCATTTTGCATCCAGTGTCGATGAGAGCGGGTGTACAGGGTTCGATACAGCATCCAGTGTGGAGCAGTTGGGTTTATAAGCATACTGGTGTACATCGTCTGACTGGGTGCGCATGAAGATCCGAGGCACAAGTATTTTCTCAAAGAATCAACATTATCGATGTACACGCAATCAGACGACAGCGTTGAGGTTCCTTCTTGTGCACATGCGTTATCCTCAAAGGTCTCCAACTGTCAGTGAGTGTACTAATCATAAGACAGCAGTTGGATAGAGCGGTTAGGAGCATCGCAAGATAATCCGTGCACGCTTTTAGAGCGAGTGGGGTTAAAGCATCAGGTTCAGCAGCCTTTTTGAGTTCGCTGTAAACATCCAAGTGATCAGAGTAGCTTGAGACTGTGTTAGAGAAGGAGGACAGGGAACATACCTTGTGTGGAAGAACAAAATGCAACATTGAGCCTGTCCAAATCCACATCGTCAAGATGTTTCGGGGAACTTTTGCAACACAAGTGTTTTAAAAGCCTCCAAAGGTCACGATAATTATGAGTACGTAACACAGTTCCAATGTACAAACTATTCAGTCGCATTACTTCTAACTTTACTGCCAACATTAATCGTGTAATTTTGGCAGACAGTTTTTTCTTTCGTCTAAGTTGCTTCACTAGTGATGAAGAGAATCTGTCCATGTGTATATAGATAGTTTCCATGGGGAAGCATAGATCAAAGCAGAAGTTGATACAATCTGTAAGGTATCCACCCTCCAACGATAGGTTTTCATCCGTGAAAACTAAGAAGCCGGTTGAAGCCAGAGTCGCATGGAGCTTTGCAAGATTTTATTTTGAATAATCTGGCAGTCTGGTGGTTTTGAAGGGTTTTTTGTCAAAGACAAAAGTTTGATCTTAATGTCAAGGACATATTTTCAGGATACAGTGGTCTGAGTTATCGAAAGGAGGTCGCTTTAAAGTAAAAACAAATAAGTTTTGTTTGTGAAAACAAAATCAGACTGCGCATCGAGTCTGATTTCGAGAGATACCGTGTCTTGACGAACGTCGTATCATGCTCGTTGAAGCCAACAGCACCAGAGCACTCAATTTAAGGCAGTAAAACTGTTGAGAAATGATCACTCGATGGAGTGTCGAGGCCATGTAGATGTTTCCGATGACCACGGAAAGAAATCCACTCAGAAATTCCGGTTAACAATCTAGTAAATGATAGCTAATTTTTGATGTCAAGTATGTAGAGAGCAAGGTAGTCGAATTACACCATGATTGGTTCACATAAGTGACAACGCCTCCTCCGCGATTCTGCGGCTTTCCAGGGCGATCAGACCTCACGACGCGGTATCCATCGTCCACATCAGAATGGGATGTAACCAAATTTCTTGCAGAATTACAATACCTGCGCCGCATAGTGACATTGAGTCCGGTAATTTTACCGAGTACAGAGCGCACATCGCTAGAGATAATAAGCGGAATTTGCGCTTTATTAATTGAACAGCGTCTGAGCCTGGCCTGCCAGCCAGCACGGTGCGTTCTACTTTTACCAAAGCGTTGTTTTAAAAATTGTCTGATGGTGTTTCTGACTTTGTGATCGCATGCGACATAAGGCGTCTCGGAACAATTTCAAAAAGTAGAATAGGAGAACATCGATGACCACAGATGGATCCAGATAAACAAAAATGCGAGAACAGTAAAAAATTTTAAACCCGCAGTAGAAAGCGTAAAAATAGTACTCCGAGGAGAAAACAGCAACGGCTGATTTAAAGACCCCGCGAGACATTAATGATGTGAAGCGAATGAAATATGGGTATAAATCAGTCGAAAAGAATGGCGAAAATTCTGAAAATGTGTAAAGAGAACTTGGATTATCCAGAAGCACGGCGCGCACTCTAAGACCAAATAATGAACAACAAACTGCTGTGTCAAGCGCTGCTGTGGAGTTCTGGCCTAGTGGCCTAAATGAAAACAGTCAGGTACTGTGTCGATTTCCCCTTACAGCTCAAGCTATCTCTACTTGACGAGTCCCAATCAGGACGAAACCGGTCTGTTGTGCAGTGTTTGGAGAGCAGCACTGAAACTCTCCACTCCGGATGCGGCCCCAGTGATCGAAATGGCATATGTTTGCTTCGAAGCAACCTGTAGCCTCGATCGGGCACTTCGACAAAATAATGAACTTGGATAATGTTTCAGGGCTTAGATACGATGTCGTATTGGACACGATACCCAGAAAACGACTGGAAAAAGAATACTGCACACAAGCTTGACAAATTACAAGTGCTTAGACGGAAGCACTTTAATTGGAAGCTGTTTTGAATAAGCATAGCGCGGATCTGTTCAGTTCAGTTAAACAGCTCGACCCCGTTGCATAGGGATGACAGCCCTTAAGTCACTGAGCCGCAGAGGGCAGGGTTAGTCACAACGGTTAATTACAGATTGGAAGGTCTGTTTTGATGTGTGCAAACATGGGGACTTGTCTGACATCCCAAAGGCCCAGGGCTCAGGTGTCTATCATTCCCATTTGGTGAGATCAAACAAATTCAAACTAGTCGTGGAGTGCAGCATTTTCGGGCGGGCAACGCCCAATATCTGAATTCAGATATATTGTGTCTTCTCATTAGCTGTGTACAAACAACCTGTAGAGTAATTATGTTGCACATACAACGGCAGGACAATGCATGAAATCGTTCTATACACAGTTGATGAGATAGGAAATACCTGAATTCAGATTATTCCGTTGAAATATCGTTCCTTCTTGCTATTTCGTGAAGCGGAAATCCTGTACGAAATTTTTCAAAAAGAACCAATATTTATCTGCTTCAGTTCCGGACCAAGTGATCGAATTAAGTAAGGTTCACTTCAATGTGAATCATGGTCCACATTTAGATTAAGCGTCGCGTAACAACCACACAACGAGTGTGGTAACGATAGAAAAAGGGAACAAATACAAGAGCGCCTTTGACTCCGTAGTAATGCCACTTATGAAAGCTTATCCAAGCGCTGATGTTGATGATCTTAGGGTCTCTGTTCAAGAAGGTAAAAAAGAGATATCCACTCGGTCATAATGTAAGTCGCGGGTCTGTGTTATGGCATGCATGTCGTTAAATCTAGTATAGCATACCAATCATGGCTGCGCCAGAGACAGACACTGCCTAGGCACCTAATCGTCCGATGCATTTGTTGAATAGATAAATTCCACCGGAAACGGGAACACAGTTGAAGATGTAGTGGACAGTTTCCCCATACAGTATAGAGCACAAAGAGTGATCCTATCATGAAACTGGTAACAATTAAACCAATGCTATGTGTAACGCTGAGGACAGTAAAACGCTGTCTTACGAACTAGTGTACTTGAGTAACAGGCAGATGTCGTTTGTTTCCATTCGAAACCTGATCAACCCTAGACGATGCTATCTGTCAGAAAGACGGCACCGAAGTACGGACAGTTTGGTACTGTTATTCAGGGTCGGTTAAGTAACACTGACGAGGTGCGGTGAATCCATGACTCGAATCCCAATGCAGGCGATAGATAACGACAATGTGAAGAACCGAATGGAGTAAACAAAAGTAATTACCTAAATAACACATGGACTGGAAAAAATAGCCTAACATCAGTGGGTGGCTTAGTGTTGTACCGTTGTTTTGCTGCCCTATGAGAGTGCGACTGTCTGACTGCTCAGTCACGCGCGCAACAAAACCAAAGGAATATATACAAAAGGCCAGAACTCGGTAGACGCTATTTATTGGTAAACGAAACATGCTAATTTTGGAGGTCAAGGTCACTAGCACTTTCGCGTCTGGTGTTCAGCCA